TATATTCACTTATCCATGTTTAATGAATTGAAAGTGTTTTAAAAAAAGAAGTATAATATACAGTTGATTAATTTGATCGTAAAATTTTTTATTGTAGTGTTGAAAAAAATTATTATCATAGAACTGATAATCATCATTGCCCATCTATCAATTCCAGTTATAAGTGTAAATATTTTATCTGGGTTTAAAATCAAGTTTAACAAGAGATAAATAATATTTCATTGTTACGGTATCTCTTTATAATTGTTACAATATTCTATTCACATTGAATACTTATGGGATGATGTAAAATGTAAAAGATTTTTTCTATTATTTATTTAAAAAAATGAAAAAAAAACAAATTTTTTTTCGCTCTAGTGAAATTTAAAAAAAGTTTCATGTTAGAAAATTTAATTTTTGTTTGTTTTTTGTTTTGTACCTGATGACTATGAGGATGGTTCGGTTTGAAAATTGGCTTAGTTATATTAAAGTATTTTCATAGTTGAAATTTGAAGCTAGACCACCATGGAAAATGTGGGAGCACTGGACGGCCGTTTCGTTCTATTATGGGACTCCTCAGCATTGCACCTCCACGATCCCGACTAGCGAGATTCGAGCTCAGGACCTACCAGTCTCGCGCCAGAGCACTTAACCGATAAATCAATGAGCTGGCATCCAATGGTGTTAATGTCTAACTTCAACCAATTCACGAAGTTTGAGCAACCGTTCACCAATTGTCTTGAGTGAGTTGCTATCTCACAACAGACCTGGTTGAACTTCACCGGTTACTGCTTCCCACTAGAACTCCAGGACATGTATCTTGAAGTCAGTCACTAGTGAACATATGATTATAACCAGAAGTGGTTTTGTGGAGATTTCTATATTCACTAAAGAATTGAAGATTCCGATTTTTTTAATTTCATTTGGTAACTAAACTAATATTTATGAAGAATTTAATGTGTAAACACAATTGTTGTATTAAGAGGACGATGATTATCAGAACTATGTGATATAATAATAATAATCAAACAAAATAAATGAATTATGAACTGGGTACATCCAGCTGACAAGTTCCGATTAGGACGAAACTCATGTCCTTCATTTCCCTACTAGTTGACATCCACCTCTGCTCACAAATGCATTATGTTTTACAAAATTCTCTGCTGACTAGTCGTAAGTTTAAAACTTATCCCACTTTATAATATTTGAGGTAAAGGATACTTCCCGTAATTTTTACATAATGCATTACTGACAGTTTATAATATTTTAATTTGTACTTGGTTACTATACTCTGTCATACAGTTATGAACCTATTCTGTTAGACGAAGTTTATTACAACTATGTGGAGTATTAGTGAGTAATACATTTTAAATAATCTGGTCGTACATATTAACTTGTTAAGGTATATGTGATAAATGAACAATAAACAAGACGAATGTGGTTTTCTGAGTGAATAGCCTAAATTTGTCAGTGAGGCATTAAATGTTCTATTGAATACGAATATTGAGATATATGAAAAAATTAGTCAAAGTTTAAAGAGTAAATCGGTAAGATTCTTTTCACTGACTCAGTTATAACAAATTAATTAAGAGGTGTGAAGATTTCGGGTAAAAATCTATGTTTGGTTATTGATTTCCATCCATACATAGAACAAAACAACTGTCCAATTTTGACTGCTTTATAATACGGACTGTCCTTATTTTTACAAAAAATCTTAAGAGAATTAGTCAGACTCTGTATTCTGTGGTTTGCCCTGTGTACCGATTTCAGTAATTGTGTATTTGCACAACAGTGTTTGCTTCCTTGCATAATGTCATACTTTTATTACAGCAAACTTCTCTCAAGTGAGAAATGTATACACACTCAACCTGACCTATCTGAATAACTTAATAAAATACTGATTATTGAAATATAACTGAGTAGTAAAGGCTTGCTAATGTTTACTCATTGTCTTACTAAAGTAATATAGTAGGATATAGTAGAAGAAAAAAGAAATTGGATATTTATAGTTTCAATAAAAGTGTTTTATGTTCTCATAGTTGACCGTTAAGTATTAGCATTCAAGCTCATTTATTGGTTCCATAACTTAAAATTTATTAATAATGAAGCTAAATGAAGATTTGATCTTTTGCCGCTTTCTAAAAAATAAAATTAAAATTCACGGTATTTATATGGCTATCGGAAGCTGTTTGAGAACACAACAAAAAGTGTAGGTAGACTTGAGATTTCGTTATAGCGAAAAAAGGAAAGCATTTTTCTGTTTTTATATATTGTACTTAAAATGAGCTATCGTCGTGTTCAATGAAGATCTAAATTGTTGTCACTCCAGATAAATTCATTCAAAGATGATTAGTTATTATAAATCAAGATTAAACAATCAACAACTGCCTAATATCCCTATATAAAAGTTTTGAGAAATCCCTAGTCTTTTAGTAGTCTTTTATTTATTTTTCTCTTTTGAGTTATAAAAAGATTCTGGTTAAAAATCTAACCTTAAAAATGTTCAGCAAAGTAATAAAATATCAAAAAACCGCGTCACCAAACACTGGCTAAAAGGAATTCATTCCAGTTATTAAGTCAGTTAATAAATTGTCCAGTAGTACGCTGTTAACTTTTCTCATTTTGACTTCAAACAGTAGTTTTGACCAAGCAAAAATTCAGCGTTAACAAGAAGGCCAAGTTAGTTCAAAACTCTCCCCGCTTCAGAATTAAAATCTCGGTTTACGAATTAAATGTTTTGATGAATTACTTAGTTTCAAGGTATAGAAGGTGGTCGAAAATTTTCAACTCTTTATAGTAAAACAGTTTACGTAGCTTGTTGGCAGAGTCATTTTCAAAAAAAATCAAACTGATATTTAGTGTTTACATTGTTCTCATATGATTACAGAAGCCTTTAACTTAACGTGACAGACTTCCATCACTGGTCATCCGATTTTATTTTCTAAATTGTAAGTTTATGGAAAACTTGATTAATTTGGATAAAATATATTTGTGTCAAGTTTAACTTCATTTATATTCGTCTATTCATTTAAAAAAGCCTTAAATAACTGTAATAAACTTCCTTAACTTATATACAAAAGCCATAAACCATATCCTTAACCATCGAGAATTACATACTTAGGATTTCTATATCCTTTTAGAGATTTCCGGAGAAAGTTTATCCATAAAATAACCTACAAACTATTATTTAAACATTTGAAAGAGAAAAAAGTAATTAATCTTTCACAATCCATATGTTTTATACAAATGTACTTAATGTATGAATTTTTAAGTACTCCCATATTTATTAATCCTTATATCAAGCATTTATTTCGAGAATATCTGTTTGTTGACAAAATGCTTAAAGGTTTATAGCATTTCCCAAACAGTATGCTTGAAGCAATATTTTGGAATGATCGTGATAAGAATATTTTTATTGTTAATTTGTTATGCAGTCTCTCTAGATAGATAGATAGATAGATAGATAGATAGATAGATAAAGAGAGAGAGAGAGAAAAGGCTGTTATTTAATCGTTAACATACTGTGGTGATACACATATGCTTTTAATAAATTCTTGCACTTGAAGTTTTAGTGGATATAAGGCGTATTGAAAACGGATACAGATACTAATGAAATGTATCGAAAAGTAATGAATGGCCTCCAAATGCCCTGGTACGGCCGAGAGTGGGGAGAGTCACCTCTCCCTCTCGAAATGCTCTCATATGGCCAGCGAATATATAGCCTCTGACAGGGAAGTCCTACTCACTGCCTTCTCGTGGCGGAGATGTTGTTTACGAAATTGAGAGGACGAAAAGCGAATGTCCGGCGCTTTAACCGGGTTGGTGGACATGGAAAGTTCACCTAGGGGGGTTGGAAAACCCTCATTCCAAACCAATGGTGAACATGAGCTCCAGTATCCTGAGGGAACAAATGGCGTACGAATCAACCGTTGATCACCGGCTACCATGGGAGTGCATCTCCTCACGATGCTCCACTGCCTTGTGGATCAGACATTCAGGTCAAAGGCTCTGGGTGTGGCCCCCTAAGAAAACCACCTGCTTCAGTCTGGGCACTTGTGCAGTATCACAGCCCTCACACAAATCGAATGAGATTTGTGAGGCGCATATTTATCTGGTGCTTCCTTGTACCGATATTTATGTGTTTAAATAAAATAAAATAAAAATGTCTAGTCTTTTAGTGCTTATCGAATTCCATTATTATAATATTATTATTATTAGCTTTATTCAATATCATATTTTTGGTACAATATAGAATTCTAAGCACAAAATACTTCAACAAATTTCCGTTTTTTACTTCTCCGTCCTTCTTGACGATAAATATTGAGTGATCGCCAGTGAGAAGTTAGCAGCCCAGTCAATCGACATCTGGATAATGTACATTCTTGTCGCTGCATATTGCCAGCAACCACGATATATCACTACTCAATAATGTGTTTATTATGTTTTGATGTAAGGTGATTGAAGGTAAACAGCAAGTAACTGTAGGTCTCATATCGTGCTGTTTGGTACTCGACATTAAGACCTAACTAAAATCTTGATGGAATAAAATGTGATGGGAAGTAAAGGATCGGTCAAACAGTACACTGGCCACTACTCAATGATCACTCAGTGTAAATAGCTTAATGCTATAAGGCGTCAGTCACACCCCAGATGGGTTATTGGTACCGTATTGGAATGCGAAGCTTGGTGACATGGGCCAGAATCTTATAGGTAGAAGGAGTTTCATCAAGAGTATAGGTACAACCTGCTGACAAAAAATCAAGTAGCATGAAACCTAGATCAAGCAGGGTTTCTAATTGACTACCTTAACCACCTAAAGTTACAAACTTCATTTCAGGTTTACTGACGAAACTGGGAATATTGAGATTAGGATTAAATTAAAATTACTGATTAAAGTTAGTTGTGCACCATAAAGTTCATATCTCTGAAAAACGGGTCAAAAATATGAATTAAACTATGAAAGATCACATGTTAAAAAATGCATTTATTACAGCACACACATATATGTAGTTTGAACTCACTTTGTTAGCTTGATTACTCTCTGAACTGTCTGACATATGAAGCCGGTTTAGTTCATTTGCTTCTGAACCCTGTGATCACAACAATAAACAACAATAAGTTATATCATGGTTCAGAGTAAAGAAATCATAAAATCCACCGTTACTAAATTAAAAATATACTTTTGATCATTAAATACTGAAGAACAGACAATTGATACACTTGATAAAACAAACTTGTTGGATTGATTTTTCCGATTATGAACAAAGAAGGTCTGAACACTTTAAAAAGGTTGTTAATGGTATATTGAAAAAGGTATCTTATCAAGTTTTTCGAAACTTCCCTAACAACGTTTTTCCAAATTTTGTTAAATTGGTTAAAATCTCAACTCCTTTACTGAGTACATGTTTGCATAGTCAGATTTGAGTGACAAATTTTGTGTCGAAGTTAATCATATTACTTACTTACTTACACCTGTTACTCCCAATGGAGCATAGGCCGCCGACCAGCTTTCTCCAACCCACTCTGTCCTGGGCTTCCTTTTCTAGTTCTATCCAGTTCTTGTTCATTCTTCTCATGTCTGTCTCTATTTCTCGGCGTAAAGTATTCTTTGGTCTTCCTCTTCTCCTTTGACCTTCAGGATTCCATGTGAGGGCTTGTCGTGTGATGCAATTACCTGATTTCCTCAAGGTGTGCCCAATCCACTTCCAGCGCTTCTTCCTGATTTCTTCCTCTGCTGGAATCTGGTTTGTTCTCTCCCACAGTAACTTATTGCTGATAGTGTCTGGCCATCGGATCCGAAGTATTTTGCGTAGACAGCTGTTGATGAACACTTGTATCTTCTGGATAATGGCTTTCGTAGTTCTCCACGTCTCCGCCACATACAGTAGAACTGTCTTCACATTTGTATTGAAAATTCTAACCTTGGTGTTGGTTGACAATTGTTTTGAGCTCCAGATGTTTTTCAGTTGTAGGTATGCTGCTCTTGCTTTGCCGATCCGCGCCCTCACATCTGCATCTGATCCACCATGTTCATCAATGATGCTGCCCAGATATGTAAAGGTTTCCACATCCTCCAAAGCTTCTCCGTCAAGTGTAATTTGATTGGTGCATATTGTATTGTATCGGAGAGTCTTGCTTTTCCCTTTGTTTATATTGAGACCTACTGCTGCTGAGGCTGCTGCTACACTGGTCGTTTTCTCCTGCATTTGTTGTTGCGTTTGTGATAGAAAAGCCAGATCGTCCGCGAAGTCTAAATCGTCAAGCTGCATCTTGCCTGTCCACTGTATCCCGTGATTTCCTCCAGATGTTGACGTCTTTATGATCCAGTCGATGACCAGGAGAAAGAGAAAGGGTGAGAGTAAGCAACCTTGCCTAACACCGGTCTTTACTTCAAACGAGTCCGTGAGTTGTCCTTTGTGGACGATTTGGCAGTTTAGTCCATCATAGGAGTTCCGTATGATATTTACTACCTTCTCAGGCACGCCGTAGTGTCGAAGAAGCTTCCATAGTGTCGTCCTGTCCACGCTATCAAATGCCTTCTCGTAGTCGATGAAGTTGATGTAGAGTGATGAATTCCATTCGATTGATTGTTCCACAATGCTCCGCAGAGTTGCGATTTGATCTGTGCACGATCTATCCTTACGAAATCCAGCTTGTTGATCTCGAAGTCGGGCGTCCACGGAATCCTTCATCCTGTTTAACAATACTCGGTTGAAGACTTTCCCTGGTATTGAGAGGAGAGTGATGCCCCTGTAGTTGTCGCACTTGCTCAGATCGCCCTTCTTTGGTATCTTGATCAGAAGTCCTTTTTTCCAGTCTGTTGGTACTTGTTCTTCGTTCCAAATCTTACTGAAGAGGATGTGGAGTATCTTGGCAGTTGCTGTTACATTTGCTTTCAGTGCCTCTGCCGGGATGTTGTCTGGTCCCGCTGCTTTGCCACTCTTGACTTGCCTAATGGCCATGCTGATCTCTTCAATTGTTGGTGGGCCAACATCGATTGGGAGAAGTTAATCATATTACCTAGCTGGAAACATTATAATACCTTATGCCAGGTCTGAATCTTGAACGTACTGCTTGAAAGCATGGTATTTTATTTACTAATCTACCTTATACAACACCCTAAAATTATGGCGAATAAAATTATTCCGTATATTGATCATATCAAAGATATAAAAACTTACTGATTTATCTGATAATGAGCTTTCAGGACTCATTGAATTTGATAGACCATCGCTACCACCCCTTGCAGCCAATGAATTAGCTTTAAGGCAATCACGTCGTGTGAAAACCTGATCTGGTGTCCAACAGCCAGTTTCATTGACTGTAATATTTTCTTCACAGTCACGTTCTTTCATTATTCCTGGATCTGAGTTATTTGTACCTTGATTAGTTGTTAAGGATCCATATGAGCGGTAAACATCGGAACACTTAGAACGAACATACGAGTTATTATTATTGGTTTTGATGATTTCATGTTGATCAGATGATGATTCAGGGATGTAAGAATTTGAATTTACTTGGTAATTTGGTATAGGAGATGAACTAGGTGAAGTATTTGGATAGTATATTTGTTTTTCTATATTGGGTTGTAATGAACATTTTGGTTGAGTTTTTGTACTTGAGTTCTAAATAAAAGAATAGATATGTTATAAATATATCAGTAACACATTCCACTTTTAAACAAACAAAATCTTCGTTCTGACGAGGTAGACTAAAGATTTCAACTTTTTTGAAAGCTTTAAATTAAATTAATTGATATTAAATAAATTTATTTATAGTAAGATTTTAAATGTCAAATATCACTTGTGAAGTACTATCATCGATGTTTTAAGACAAGGTTATTGATCATTATAATAGGAAAATTCTTTTCAAGCAGAAACAGACGAATACTCTTGATGTTATCTACATTTTCTTTATAGAAACTTTTCGAAAACTTTTTTTGGTTTTTTCAAGTAGTCATATATGGTGTAACTTACCACGATTTACCATGGTAGTTGGAAAAATTTTTTTTGATAATTTATGAAACAATTATTCTGTTTTATGGTTTTTATTTCCAGAGGTTAGTCTATTAGAATTTAGGCTAATAAGAACTATTACTATTGTTATCAACGATAAATCTTGTAAATAATTGATACTTTTGATAATATAACATAAAAGATAATTACGTCTGTATAGTTCTGAGAGTTTAAATCAGATTGTGTTTATTTCACCAATACCTTCAACTGTTATTTTATAAGATTCTTAATCAGCAAACATGACATTGTTTTCTCGTACATCACTCGTTCTTAACTTAGCGGTCCAGAAGTTAGACAATTGTACATGAAACCAAATGTCTTACCTAGGTTTTGTTTTCCATTTGCGGGGTCGTGGATGCTCACTGATGAGAAGTTTCGTATTAGGACAAAACAACTGTCTGGTGTTTCGTGGTTATAAGTGAATGTCTAACTTGAGTTGTTTTGTGATTTCGATGAAATTCAACAATCATCATAATCCCATACTGATGAATATATTGTTGGTTGATTAGTTAGTACATTGTTTTCTTTATTAAATTCAGGAACTGGTTATATGTGACGTTTATGCTATGATTTTCAAGTCAACATTTCTTAACATATCAAAATACATAACTTAGACTGAATTAGAGTATGTTGAATGAGGTTTACACAATGATTTAATTTTTTGAACTAAGATCACTATCTACTGTAGGCTACATTTATATTTGATTCTACAATTGATGAATTAATTCAGTGAATAACTATAACAGACTTTTATATAGAAAGACTGGATAAAATGTAATGTTTCTATTTATATCCATTACTTTTTATTAGGCTGAAACCTCATCTCCCAGTAAATCAAATTACATATGGTTATTAAACAAAATGAAAGAATAATTCCTTCCTTCCATTTATTACTCAAATGTTGTTTCTGTTTTGCTCTCCCTAAATATATATACTGGTCTTTTCCTAATATTTATATATATGTATAAACAAAATCTCTTTTCAATGGTTTATCTCTATCTCATGACAGACATGATAAATGCAGAAAAGAACCATTCTTGAGGATATCGAATAAATGTTGGTCAACATCAAATCATTCATACAGGTAACTTTGTATTTAGTTTCAATTCATTAATCATTATTCAAATAATTGGAGTAATAAATTTTAAAATCAAGGATTTAATAACAAAATAAAAACCATTTATAGCTAAAATTAAATAAATATAATTTTTGGTATTGGGATTTAAGGAGATTGTAGTATTTTCACAGTTGATTTCACTAGTCAATCTAAGCTAGACCGCCATAGAAAACCTGGAAGTACTAGACAGCCGTTTCGTCCTACTATGGGTCTTCTTAGTAATACACATTCAAGATCCTGCTCGTGGGACTCAAACACAGAACCTTCGATCTTACGCTAGGACGCTCAACCTCTAGACTACTGTGCCGACATGCAACAGTGTTGATGTCTAACTTCAATTGACCCATGACCTTGCACAATGTTCTGTCCATTGTCTGAGGTGGATTTAATTTTAAGTAGAAAATAACATATTTTTTATCAGAAGGGGTTTTGTGGAGATTTAGTATTTTCATAGTTGAAAGCATGAGTCAACTGAAGCTAAACCACCATGGTAGGTCCTGGGTTCGAATCTCGCGAGTGCGGGATCGTGGATACGCACTGTTGAGGAGTCCCATAAAAGGACGAAACGGCCGTCCAGTGCTTTCAGGTTTTTCATGCTGGTCTAGCTCCAATTGACTCACGCTTTCAGCTATGAAAATAATTTTTTTCAAAAATACATTTGTGAACTTCTAATTTTGGTTTCTCAGACGATCAAATTTATATAACTCAAAACTATTTTACATGTAATTTAAAGAAGTATTCTTCAGTTTTAAGGATGCTATCATACATGTAAAACGTTGTGACTATCTACAGCACCAATAAAGACCTTTTCAATGACCATCTTGTAAATTAGATTTCCGAGATTTTTGGAAAAAATATTTTATTCTGCAGAATTTTGCATCGTCTTTTGATCTGAGGATGTGTGGAGCATATGTTTCTACTTCGAGTAACATCAATGTGATTTTATAAGTTTACTTTTTCTTTTGGAGAAGGTTAATATTGACCGTAGAATGTTACCTCTCTCAAAACTCACCTTTAGCATTACCATCATTGGTTATCAAACAGAGTGTTAAACTCAGTTAGAGGTAGAGGTTATGAACATCTCATAAACATTGGTCACGTAGTCCCAGCATAATTCTCCGTCAAAGTTATCCATATAGTATAGGTAAATGATTAAAAATAACTACAAATTAGGAATGTAAACACTACAGAGGGTTTAGCGATACATCGATTCCGCCATAGTCTGTCTACTAAAGCACCATGTCCAATCTCATTTAACTGAGGTCTTGACTTTTTTTCTATCTTCAGCACTCGACAATTTATTTTTCATCAAAACTTTACTATTTATTCCGTGCTTCATATTTATCTAGTGGAAAATTCTCTCTCTTCTGTAGAATCTCTTTAACTTAATAATTCCTAGTTAAGTGATGGATGTTTACATTTGTGTTTTTTAAGGTTGATCTTTTCAAACAACTTATTACTCAAAAATTATTTTTATGCACAGTTGTTTAATATTCGTTGAGTTGACAATTATCCTATCTCTGTAATCAATTTCTACTTTTCTGTATGATGGAAGTATTTTGACAAATGAAAACATTCTCGCTCACTTTTTAAATGACCTAATTTTCTTTTGTTTAATTACATGATATAATTAATCATAAATATGACTGTACAGCTTTAGTAAATAACATTAGCAAATTGCATTCATTTCTTTTTCGAAGACAAGGTGGTTCCAGTCGTTATTTAAAATATTTTAGCTTTTGTTAGAAATTATTGATATTTAAATGGAATTTGAATCAATTCGTTGAACGTCGAATTGAAAAAAATAAGAATCAAATGATCAAGCTCCCATTATCTGGAGCTGAATACGTTTGGTTTTTAAAATATCTCGCTGACAACCCTTTATTTCAGATCTTAGAGACAGTAGTCGGGGGGGGGTTAAACAGTCCGTAAATTGAAGTTATGTTAGTACCATAGTTTGAAAGTTTACAAATAATTAGATTTCATTAGGATATATATGATTAACTGAAGGTTAAATTAAGTCAGTAACTACCATGATCTAAAAATAAATGGCCTTTGATGTTCAATTAATCCTAATAAGAAACTCTTCAAGATCGTACACTAGATTGAATTGAGCACTCATGCAGTGGACGCTACTCACAAGGATGCTTGCAAGTAGTGTGCAGCAGGACGCGGCTTTGAAGTAGCAACTGTTGTCAGACAAAGTAAATAGTTTCAGTGCATTTGGAGCACTGCGTTAGTGTAACGCTTGGAGGCCAGTCAAGAGGCTGGTTCAGATTGCAGAACACAACGATTAATGCAAATGGACGGTTGAAGGCGATATATATATATATATATATATATATATATATATATATATATAATGTAAACAGTTTTTACTTCCCCCTTACCTGTTGTTGTGCTTTACACTTGTAGTTATCAGGGTAGTATATTCAAACTTTAAAGCATTATTCCACTACTCATATTTCTAAGTTCGGCTGATTCGTTATACAACACAGTAATTCTCCTGTCATTGGTTGATTATAGATCACGATCGAAAAATAAAACTTTGTCATTGATTCTCAGAAAATGTAATCTTTTTCAAACGAATTGCCCTTATTAATTCATATAAATTGACTATTTGGATCTTCTCACTGATGTTTACGACTGCAGTTTGTCAGCCTCTTTCCGTTATGTGTGCATCCTATGGGGATTACTTCAATATTACCATTGAGTCATAAGGATTTTAAGCATCGATAGATATTGGCTAGCAGTGGCATTCTAGACATCAGTGGGCAAATCCAAACAACGAATAAATGTGAATAAAATTCACCCCGTTGCACAAGCCAGTGGCTATCTGGACTCAGTAACCACCTGAATAACAAGATAGTATTTGGAGCTGACTGTACCGGGTTCGAGTATTGTAGTGAACATCAACTCTTGGATGCAGGTACAACCAGCTGACGATCCATAAATAGGAGAAAACATACGCCCTGATTTTACTATCAGTCAACATCCATCTCTTCTTAAAATGACTTTCATTATATTTTACAACATAAAGTACTTACATTAATTTTTATAAAGTTAAACTTAAATAGTATGCTAATAACTTTAAGGATAATCTTTCAGTATAAAGATAAATATACAATTAAATCAATAAACTTACTCGGTATAAACCTCTTAGCTCATTAATAAGCTGTTTCTGAGTTTCAAAATTTTGATATGACTGAGAATTATAAACTGGAACTTGAGTTGTCCTTTGTAATTGCATTGTTTCTCTGTCCTTGTCACCTAAATTACCATCATATGAGTTTAAATGATGTGGTTTTATTCCATTCATTGGGTTGTTTGCATGTATAACAGACCATGATTCATCACTTCTAAGTTGATTTCGTCGTGGAGATTGTTGAGGTATTTGTGAGTGACCATTTGATTGTTGCATTAATTGTGAGTGAGGGGAGTATGAAGAACTAGGTGGAGAATTAGTAGGGCTTGCACATGCATCACCAGCCCCAAGAAATGCAGGTGGTGGTGGAGGAGGTGAAGGTGAGGAATCTTTCTTTAAAAATCTACTATTATCAGTATGATCATATTCATCATGATTTAATTTAGCTGCCCATTCTGCACAAATATAACCATTACTTTTTTTTACATTTCCTTTTCTATCAGGAACTGATAAAGAAATTACAGGTTGATCACTAACTGTTACTGATGAGTTTGAAGTTTCTACTGTAGGTTTTTCAGAAACAGGGTATGCTGAATGTTTGCCATTAGAGGATGAAGCTAGACTGTAACGCTGAAATTAAAAACAGATCATATTGCATAGTATATGTTATTTAGATTTTGGTTTATGAAGACAAAAATGGCAGAATTTATTTTAATGATCTTAAAGCTTTACAATATAAGTAAAAGTTTAAAAGAAGTGATTAATATATTTAGATTATGAATCACTGAATTTAAATTCATTAGTTTTGAAGTAATCGCGTTTTTTGTAACTCCCGTTGACTCTAGGTTCAATTTTAAGTGGAGTAGTGGGTACAAATGCACCATATAGTCTTAAGTTATGCTCAGTAGTCTCTAAATGTTCTCCATCTGAAATCAATTTAAGACTAAATATCGAAACCGAATTGTCATGAATTTTAATATTGTGTAAAAACATCAAAAATTAAGGAGTTCATCGATTTATATCATGCTTACAATCATAACATAATGTTTGTTGGTTCTAGCTGCAAAGTTCAAATCTGAGACAAATTAAATTTTTAACAAGTTTTGTTTAACAGTGATTTGACAAATGACTTCAGTTTGTGATGAAACGTTTTTTTAAAATATTTATAACATTAATGAATAATCATAAGCATAGATGGATGGTGGATAGCAGTGAAATCTAGGATGCACGTTTCATCCTACATGGCATTCGTCAGTTGAATATAGCTTCTAGCCACTATCCATCTCCGCTTATAATACTTGTGATTTGAGGCAATATCGAGACAATTCACACAGGATTCAAATATACCAATAAGAAACTGATCAATTACAATCCTAAACATCAATGGAAAGATTCAAACAAACAATACAAAATGAATTAATGAATAATGTTTAGATCACATTATTTTAAAACGATTTAATTGAAACTCTACATGGTTATACCATTTGAACACCTCAGACATGATCATACAAAATACATATATGTGGAAGTATATTGCTACATATTATCATAATATTAAATACGATAATTACTGTGGATGGCAAAACTGCATCTAGAGAGAGGGAAATAATAAGCAAAATTGCAATTTCTCTACTACCCAACAGTCCAATTGATTTTAAACAAAAATCGATAGAAATTTTGACGGACCGATGAAAATTTAGCATGAACAACCGAATACCGCACATTAGAAAAATCACACCAGAGTTTACCAATATGAAATTTACATTAAGACATAAACCTTTGAGTTATGTTTGTCATTAAAGCACATGATCATCTGACTATTAATTTTATAAACTCAATAAAAGATTATAGACAAATCAATTGGCATGATGCATGTCTGCCTTGGTTGTTCTCTTTGTGTTTTCTGCTAATGGAATAATAGAGACGATTAATTTTGTTTTGTTTTCATAGTTCAAGAGAAAGAGAGCAATGATAAATATATCTCTCATCAGTTATAATTAAAATAATCAAAAATTAAAAACAATTATTCTGACTCATTCCATCAACTTAAATAAACCATCAAAAAATAGTCGGAATATTTACTTTAGCTGTATGAGTTGTACAAAACATTTGAGAAATGATGACACGGTAACAAACAAAGAAAGAATTTTAACCTTGAAATACCTGTAGAATGTGAATGTAACATTTTTTATTAGAGTACTTAGGAAGATGATGAATATTGATGACTCTATACTTAATTATCAGAATCACGTTGTGGAAATATACGAGTCTTTGTACTAAGAACATAATTTATTTTTAATTATGGTCAAAGTAAGAATTAGAATATAAAGAAAACAAGGACAATTTATCAAAAATGTGACTGATAATGTAATAAAGCTTTTTAGAAGTATTATGCAGTACAACTCATAATATAAACTTGATGATCGGTTTAGTGCTCTGGCGCGAGACTGGTAGGTCCTGTATTCGAATCTCGCGAGGTGGGATCGTGGATGCGCACTGTTGAAGAGTCTCATAGTAGGACGAAACGGCCTTCCAGTGCTTCCAGGTTTTTCATAGTGGTCTAGCTCCAATTGACTCATGATTTCAACTACAAAAATAAACTTGATGATTCTTTAAGAGCTCTCCTAATGAAATTAGTTCTAAATCAGATAACAAACTATGAAAATCGCATTTAGATAGTACATACAACTTGGAATTATTGACGCACCGTTCGTTGAGAGCGCCAGATGACTGAATTCAAAGCTGACTTCTATGGAAGAGACCAACCGCATAGTTTTTATTTCTTCCCTATTCGTCAAGTAATTTTTACTAATGATGATATTCTAACCTGTGATAGCCAATTTTCCTTATAATTGACTTCCTTAACAAGTTGATGAGAAAATAGTTTGATATTTCTACCAGCTGCTTATTGCACAGCATAAAATTAAATTCTTATTTTCTTAATCTATTGTCTTAAAACTAGAATTTCAAACAGATTACGCAATTAATTCATTACGTTACATGTTTAGGTACTCAGTTTCGAGATTCACTTATACGTATGAAGATCAGTGTTACCACACCTAGCTGTCTTAACGTAAATAAATAATGAGGAGTTTGAATTTTCAGGCTATTCAATAAGTGTTGGATAGTTTCTTTAACCACTAAGGTGACTGTATCAAACAATCCAAATAAACTATTTAAAAAAAGAACTATGATATATCTCAGTTTTGCTAGATAATAACTACTTCAAGTAATATATTCATCAATGAAATAAAACAAAACGATTTATAGTAATTTTAATAGTCGAGATCATGAATCAATTGTAACTAGATCACCATGAAAAACCTTGAAGCACTGGACGGCCGTTTCGTCCTATTGTGGGACTCTTCAGCAGTGCGCATCCATGATCTAGAAGTTGAGCGTTCGCGCGTGAAATCAATAGGTCCTGAGTTTGAATCTCGCGAGGCAGTATCGTGGATGTGCACTGCTGAAGAGTTCCTCAGTAGGACGAAACGGCCGTGCAGTGCTCTTAGGTTTTCCATGATGCTCTAGTTTCAATTGACCGATCATCCCAACTGCTAAAATTACTATAATGTCCACAAAATTCATTTCTGATATAAAACGATTTACAATTTGACTGTTATCTTTATCAACGATGCATGAAGGTACAAATAATCGTTGGTACAAATAATTGTAAAACAAAATTATTTAGTTTACTCTACAATTCTTTTTGTTTTTCGTTTTATGTGATTGAGTTATTAAATGAAATTGAAACTGGGTTAAATTAAACAAAATACTTCCCCATTGAAACCCGTTTATAATTAATTATAAAGCAAAAGAATTGACATTTTATTGAACTGTATATTATACCTGTTGACAGCGATTATAACTGATCACTTAAAAAAAAACTCAAAAATTACCTCAGCTCAAAAGTTTGCATGTTCTCATCTGTTGATGTTAAAAAATCTAACAAATATAAGTTAATCTTAAAAAGCTTGCCACAATACATTGTAAAGTTGAATAATATTTAATAGTGGAATCCAGAACGGGTGTTTCATTCAATTCTGGACTCGTTATCTGGATGTATCTGAACCCTTGTATTTATGCTCATATAGGGACTCGAAAGTAGTATATTTCAAAGTAGCTTTAAAACGTGTTATTATATAGGCCAATTGTCGTGGGTGTTGCTATATTAAGCTCACATAGTTTATTCCGGCTTCCGGACAAGCCTATTTATTCATTCTTCTTAAGTTATATTTTGACCTTTTCAATTATTCACTTATCAACCTTTACTGCTTTATGTGAGCATATACGTGTTCACTTCTTATCTTAACACATGTTTGTAACTTATTTTTTTGTGTGACCATAAATATCGATTAACACTTGGTTAAGTTGATTTGGCTCATACATCTTCACTGCACATCATTTCGGTTCGCTCTCTCCTCTTCGCTTTGTTTCTTCGATCGTTTGGCTGGATCGACGATTGTATGAAATATACGTGTTCAAAATTCATTCTCGTACTTAACTTATTTAATTCAGTTATTCACGTACGCGATTTCAGTCTGTGATTAAATATGAAGATTGGCAACATGTATATTTCGATGAAAAGCAGCAAATGATCTACCTGGAGTCAGATATCGGGCCACACAATAATTAACAGATGAGAAATGAAGACTAGACAATTCTTCTCAGGTCAAATTAACGGTTTTAGCTGTCAGTCAAAGTAAACCTTCAATCTTGAAAGTCCTATTGTCAAAATCTTTCTTATATACTACAACTTGTTCTTTACATTTTTCAGTGTTACAGTAATTTAGGCTTAGTTATTTGTCTATCAAGGCTTTTAATTTTACTGTATATTTATCACAAATAAATTAAGGAAATTAATTCTAAAGCTAGAATATACTGAGGTACCTAGTGAAATTAAATGTTCAATAATTTCTATAGTATAACGTGATTCTTGGTGGTAGTTTGACATTTAAAATACTGTATGGCGATGACCATTTTGTAGTTAATATGCATATTAACATTCAATACTTAATAACTATCTAAAAATGATAAAATCAAAAAAGTATTCTTTTACTTACTCGAGTGAACTGATTATTCTCCTGTTCTAATTCTTTCATTTTCTCTTCAACCACTTCAAGTTCTCTAAGTAGACTACTCAAATCATGTTCAGCTGTAGCTTCTAACAGGAAATATAGAAAAAACAGTAGTGGATAATTAGAAATATTGTTTATGAAAAAGTAGTACTAATTCAATAGTAATTCATTATTAATTAAGAGTCTGACAAAAAGTTTATATTAAAAGTATATTAATAATTTTTCACTTCGCCTTAAGATTTACCGGTTTCATATGAAGAATCTAATTACTGTTTGACTATTTACATATAGTGTACGTGTTAGGGAGTGGAAGTGGTTGTCGAAAAACCCTGGACCGATGTTTTTTTGATAGTTATCATTTGTGTACAAGGCTCACTTGGAGTTTTGGGAAAAATAATCTTCTATAGTGGATTCAAACCAAGCAGAAACTAACGTGCAAGTGAGATAGGGTTTGGTGAACACTAACGATTTATGCAAGTATAGCAGTGTTTACTATTTAGTCATCAATCAATTATAATTCGTAGTGTACTTATTCATTATCATAAATTCATTACTTATTTATTTAGTGTCATTTCATCTGAATATTACAGAAAATAATCCAACTTTAATAGTTTAGATTCAGCCTAGCTTCAGTCTTAATTATAGTGTTCATATGACGATACTTTGAGCAAAGTATAATAGATTTGGTAAACAGGAACTTATAAAAATAAGTTTATACTAAACATTCTCAGTTTGTAAGTACTAATTAGCTCCATTAAAAAAACAGAGCTGCTTGCTTTAGTTTACGATTTATGAGCAGGACACGATATTATTTGAAAATAAAGTAGACCACATTCACTTGTGATAATCCATGCATATTATTCATGAAACATTATTTCGTATAAAAAAATTCCACGTACATGTATTTACACTAAAATTTGAATCATCAATGAAAATATGAAGACTTAATTATACTGATCATTTGAATATGTAATTGGTTAAAAAATAATTGTTAAGGTTAAATGGACTGAGTAGGAAGAGAAGGAATGAAAAGATAAGGCAGACTGAAATGTACAACCAGACAACTCTTTCAGTTAAGAAAGTTAGAACCACTCTTTATGTAGAAAGTAAAAGAAGGTTGCAGTAGGATCGCCACTGGCTTCTATTCTGAGCCATATCTGATAACGTCTCTAGCCACTGTGTTGCACCATCTCTCGGACCCCAGCGAGGGAGTCGTGAAGGACCAACAGAAGCTAGCCCTTTACAGCTTTCTTTCATGCCACGACACCATGCCCCCAAATTCCCTGGTACGGCCGAGAGTAGGGAGAGTCCACTCTTCCTCTCGAAATGTTCTCACATGGCCAGCGAATATATAGCCTCTGTCAGGGAAGTCCTACTCACTGCCTTCTCGTGGCGGAGATGTTGTTTACGAAATTGAGAGGACGAAAAGCGAATGTCCGGCGCTTTAACCGGGATGGTGGACATGGAAAGTTCACCTAGGTGAGTTGGAAAACCCTGATTCCAAACCATTGGTGCACATGGGCTCCAGTATCCTGATGGAACGAATGGCGAATGAACCTATTGTTGGTCACCGGCTACCATGGGAGTGCATCTCCTCACGATGCTCCACTGCCTTGTGGATCAGACCTTTAGGTCAAAGGCTCTGGGTGTGGCCCCCTAAGAAAACCACCTGCTTCGGTTTGGGCATCCGGACAGTATCACAGCCCACGCACAAATAAATGAAATGATGAATTCTATTGACGATACTATTCTCGCTCATATTAGAAGCAAGACAATTTACACTATTATTATTATTACCATTATTATTATTATTATTATTGTTACTATTATTTACTACGTCGCTTTTTCACTCCCTTTACTTTCAAATTGTGTATCCTTCCTTTCCAACTTATGCAGTAGCTCGCCCATGGTGGAAACTCTGTCCTATCTAAACGATCTTCAGTCACTGTCTGGTTGAAAGTGAATGCTTCCACCGAATACGAATATTGAAGCAGTCTTTCTGAAACCACGTACGCCGTTCAAGCTGGCTTCCTTCATATGGTGTCGTGGCATTATGGTGAAGCGTATGTATTTGTAGAATTGAGTAATACGTTTATCTAGGTAATCGACTATTGTTCGGGCCTGTCTAATCGGTCCATTAATAATCAGGGTAACTGATTATAGAACTCAGTGAGTGACTGTTTTACTTTCTGACTATTCGATCTTCACATGGCCAGTGACATGATGTACCTAAATCTTCATTCCTTATAGTCTAATGCTTAGCATCCTTCTATCTCAATAGCCTATCGAAATTAGAACAGTGCAGCCTAAGAAATGTCCAATATTATCTATTCTTGTATTGTTAGCCTTATTTAAACAATCATAGGATTATATAC